AAGGGAATTCCATCCAGCCAGGCATGCTTGCCAGCTCTGGACCGTGGAGTGAGTCTGTTAGTGTTTGTGTTTGTGTGTGTGTGTGTGTGTGTGTGTGTGTGTGTGTGTGTGTGTGTGTGTGTGTGTGTGTGTGTGTGTGTGTGAGCGAGCATCTGTTTGCATTGTGTGTTTACGTGCACATGCTCACGTGCATCTGTGCATAGTCACCGTTAACAAGGCCTGTTTAGCATCGGGTCCTCTCCATCATTGACAGGCTGACAGATGTGCATTGCTGTTGTGATGCCATGCTACATAGAGCAAGATCCCCTCACATGTTCTAAACTAGCAAATACCTTTCTGTCCACAAGCCTGAGTGAACTTTAAGAAAAGTAGTTAATGACACTATTCTTTTTAACATGATAACATATGTAGTGTAAACTATTTTAAAGAGCAACACAGCAGAAGCAGAACTTTGAGTTGTGCTGACTTCCAGTGGTTAATCTGGCCTTGCTGCAGTGATGGAGAAGTGTACTGCAGGGTAAAGTGGTTCATCGTGACATCGCTGCTGGGTGTAGTTACACATCTGATACCAAACCACTCAGCGATAGGTGCAACCAAGGAGATCACAAACACAAACTTTTCAGCCAGGTATTAAAATTAAAGTCAAAAGAAAAAGTTCAATGTTTTGGGAAACTATTTTCTGTAGTTCAAAAAGTAAGATAAAATGATCAAACGGCAGAAAAATGTTAGAAAAATCTAACACAGTGTGCATATTTTGAAGCCAAATAAAGTTTACAGTATCTAAGCACAGGTGAAGATTCAAGGACTAAAACGAAAAGTACAGAAAGTTCCTCAACTAGCTAAATGGACTGGATTGGCATGGTAGCTATAAACTAAAAACTTAAAGTGTGAATATGCATGAAGATGGATGTTGCAATGTTTTGATTGTCCAACTTCAAATGTTCAAACAACATGGAGTAAAACAGAAAAAACAGATTGGGGTTGGACTGGGACTTTCAGAAGGAAAATAAGATCCACTGAGTAAAAATCCAACTGGGGTTAAGACATCAGTTAAGCTTTGAAGGTCTATTTCATGTCCTTGGCTGGCTCACACCTCCTGTTGCTAATTGTAACACAATGGAAGAGGGAATTGGCTACTATATAAAGTGTGGAAATGGTGTCAGTTCTTTTGGTTCGGTCATTGGACACAGACATGGCAAAGCTTTTGAAGCGAGCCAGTCGCGCTGGAAGAGTTGCTCCATTTCTTGCCACGGTTACTGTGCTCATGTACGTGTGTTAATTAATTATGTATATTGATAGATTCCCAACAGAAGCTGGAGGATGGGCATTTTCTTTCCATGAGAATAAACAAGAGAAATTATACACCATGGAAGCGTGCAGCCATTCTATAAATAGAAGCGGTGCTTTTTCGCCCGGGGATGTAGTTGCATCTTTTACAGGTCAGACTGTGATCTTCTCTTAAGCCACTACATTGAGACGTAGCGGACACATCTCTGGGGGGTAGCTGCTCTTAGAGGGGCCCCTTTAATCTTTAAATGCAGGGGTGCATCTCATAATAACTGTGTGAGGAGGAGGGGACTTTTATGGGGACCGAGGATGAGGCTTTCAGATTGAAACTGATACTGTCAATCAACAGGTTAGAGGTGAAATTAGATGCCTCTGAGCAGCAGAGATCTTAACCTTCAGCTTCAAAAAGGGCATCAAACATGAGAAAAGTGAGTGGCGTCTGCTCGTCTGTCTCCCCTAAAAGCCTTCACAGGAAATCAATAGTGGTCTCCATAAGACTTAATCTGGGATCCACACTACTACCGTGGCAGGCGGCCAGCTGAGTGATGTGTGCGGTTTAAACGGCCCCCGCATCCGGCCCGCTTATCTGTAGGTGTCCTGGTGATCGCTCTGCTCTCTACTCATCTCGTCTGGGTCTTTTTTTTTCCTTTTTTTCTTTTGCTGTATCCCAGCCCTCCTCCATCTCTTCCTCCTCGTCCTCCTCTTCCTCCTCCTCCCCTCCCTCTCCCCACTAAGTTCGATGCGATCGGCTCTGGGCCCTGCCGTGAGTTCTCGGTGCGGGCGACAGCGCTGCTGAACATGGCGTCAGACGGGATGATTTTAACGAACCACGACCACCAAATCCGGGTCGGAGTCTTGACAGGTAAGCGCAGAAATTCCTATCGCTTCATTTACATTTTTCTCACATTTCCATGGTTTCATTTCCGCCGGCTGTCCGTGCGGATCTTCATACATGTCGGCTGTTTTTTTTGCGTGGCTCTCGGTCTCTTGCTGGCTTTTGCAGCCTCTTGAAGGCGACGCTGATTTTTTCCCTTCTTCTTACACCGGCATGCATTCATGTACATGCCACATTACATCCAGTGCTTATGGGGTGGAAGCGATAAATGTGGGCTCTGCATTGGTTTGTGTCCGCTCATGTATATTTTCTTGTCGAGCCGTTTTCACTGCTAAGGAAAAAGAGCTCAGTTTATGTGTATTGAATAATTCATGTCCCTATCTGCTTGTCAGAGCAGAAAATTACAGCTGACCGTGTGTTGTGTCGCTGCTAAAGATGCTCGGGCTATAGATTGCATTATTGACACCCAGCTGACCACAGCGATTTTTGAAGTGTTGCTCACGACAGTTGCTGAAGGTGGATGTGGTGATGAGCGCATCCTTTGGCCTATTAACAGCAGTGGAGGATCTGAGGGGAAAACTGTGAAAAATGACATCGGATGTGGCTTAATTTGTGAATGACAGTGCCGGCCGAGGAGTTTACATGACACATGATAACGGCTGGGGCTGGCTGTGGTGGGGCTGAACACACGGGTAAATCCTCCTGACATTCCTCTGAATGCAACGCGATGACGGCGCGTCTCTCACTTACCAATATTGGAAACGTTATGCGCTTGGATGCGATGTGCGGCTGTGAGGCGGCGGATGGTGTTAGATCTGGTCGCCGCCGGCCTTAATTTTTTTTCGTGTGTGTGTGTGTGTGTGTGTGTGTGTGTGTGTGTGTGTGTGTGTGTGTGTGTGTGTGTGTGTGTGTGTGTGTGTGTGTGTGTGTGTGTGTGTGTGTGTGTGTGTGTGTGTGCAGACTACTGCTTTGTCATGTTTCTGATCATCAAACATCACGCCATAATCCAGCGGTTGTTGTCATTATCGGAAAGTCATTTTTTGGAGGATATGGAGAGGGAGGGAGAGAGAGTGGGGGTGGTGGGGTGCATGCATGATAAAGGCTGTCCATAGGAATACCCCCCTCCCTCCCTCTCTGCCTCCCTCCCTTTCTCTCTCTGTCCATCCTGTGAGGTTGGGTAGATCAATATTGCATGCAAGCCGTGATCTCACACATATGGTATTCCTCCGTATGGAAATCCAGCAGCACGGAGGAGGTGGTAGCGATGGAGGAATGACTGTGTAGAGACCCTCTCCTGAAATCTGCCAGGGAAACCCCTACCACCAACAACACCACAACCACCCGCCTTCTCCTTCTCCATCCCTCCTGCTCTCCTCTCCTGCTTTGGAAAGAAAGGGGGGGCTGTCCATGGTGCTGAAATCCAGCGTCACTCACAAATCAGTGCGGTACTGACCTTACCACGGTAAATACTGCATCAGATAGATACACCCAGGGAAGTAGAGGAGGAGAACCCATCTCCAGTCACTTTTGTTCCTTTTCCATCACAGCTTTTTCCTGTATGATGAGACATTTGGACTTTATGTGAAGGGAAATAGCCGCAAACTCATGGGGATGAAGTGTTTAAGCAGAAATAGCATGGTTTCAGATAATTCATTGTTAATAGTTGGTCTTTGTCACCAGTTAGAGATTAGATAATACCTATCACCTTTATTTAACAGTATGCCTACACCACATCAGCAGGGGTTCATTCTCTAATTCCTCACTTGAATCCCCAACTGCATCCCTACTGTATGGTGACAGATTGCAAGTGTGATCTCGCTGTGCAGTGTTGACAACTCCAGCATACATATGTCGATGTTGAGGCGCGCAGAGACACAACCGACAAGCTTATTTGTCTTTTTTTTTATGTATGTGTGTACTTATGGAGCAGGAAGGCTCGCACTGTCAGGAAAACAAAGCATCAAAGAAGTGAGCAGAAAATAGTTTGGGGAAATGGTGCATGGTGGCATTCAGTTGCCATGTTTTACCTGACCCTTAGCCTTTTAAGAATCTAATCGTGGAAGGATTACTCATGGTTAGAAAAACCACTGTGTGATTTATTATTTATTTATGTTTCTGAGTTGATGCATTTTGACAGCAAAACGTCCCCTGCTGTGCTGCCAGGAGCAAGCAAAGCTCCGAATATTCAGGTTGGATCTCTGTTATAACGCGGAGCCTTTGTCGCCACACCTCAGTCTTACACATCCACTAGTCATGCCATTAGTTTGCTGTGTTATAGGTCCAGTGTGAGCAGAATGCTAATAGATTTTGGAGCAGTGCTCAATCTCCCTTCTTATGAGGGTTAAAGGTCAGCTGTCCACTCCTGCATTCAGTCACCATGGAGGAGATGAGACCTTGGCTCACCCTCCTCCATCACTTAGCCCCACATCCCTCCAGATAGGTGACAGAGCCCAGGGGACATCTCTGTTTAGACCCTGGACACACAGTGCCAGGGAATTCAGGCTGACGTGTCCAAGAATGTGTGTGTTTGAAATAAAGTAAGACCTTTTTAATATGTGGCTAGGTTTATTTTGTGAGGAAACTTCAAACAGGGTGAACATACTGTCACTTGTTAAAGATGTCCCACTCAAAATGTGACCTTTTTCAGGGGGGGGTGAGAACTTTGACCCTCTGTGATGTTTGTGTTTTTCTATCTACCGGTTTGTAGGTGTTTGTGTGTTTGTGTATTTTGATGCATGAGTGCCCAGTTTTCTTGCTGTCGGTGTTTCTTCCTGTTGAGCATGAGTTTTAATTGTCCTGTGTCCCTCTCCCTGGGCCTGCCTCAGGGCCTGGGCACACACAACTACACACTCTCTCACTTCAGCTGAATATGTGCACCCTAATTGGTTGAAGCATGTGCATTTGTGTGTAAAGAGATACAGTTTCAAGTAAAGAGGTGGTGAATTGTGGCCTTAAGTTTGTAACAGGAAAAGGACCATACAAACATCCAAAGATACATCACGATTCAGGCTTGCTAGTTTGCTTGTCTGACAAAGTACGATGCATAGTCTGAATTCATAATGCTATCATAGGTCTTAGCTTCAAAAGGTATGTTTTGTGTAGATACTTCAGGAAAACGTCTACCAATGAGAACCAGGCTGGGTTACGTCACACATTGGAAGCACAGCAGCTGAGCTTTTATGCATTTGTAAGCATGCACAGTGTAGTGTGCACACGTGTGCATTCCCTTTACATGTGTGGTATGTGCATATGCATGTTACTCTTCTCTGCCCTTTTTCTTTATGCACTAATACTGCACTCTGGCTGGAAAACACAGCATAGCAAATCCCCCCTGCCCCAAATATAGCTACTGTATGCATACCTTCCATGATCACACACAGAGAGAGATAGCGGAAGAGAGGTTGGCAGAGAGAGAGAGAGAGAGAGAGAGAGAGAGCCCTGCAAACAGCATTCAGTGGTTTTTAATCTGTAGAGCGCCAGTGTGCATGTGGGGGACCATGCAGTATTATTGCACGGCAACCCTCGATGCATGGGTCGCAGAAGCTCTTGGATGTTTGGCTTGATTTACAGCCCATAGAAACCTCCATTGATGCTGTATGCTAGGAGTGTGTGGGTAAACTCCAGCCCTTCCTCAAAGAGACACGGACACACACTCTGCACCGGGCTTCCAATGAGGAGCCAGGGCAGGAAGTCTCCACTCTGCGACAGACGGCACACATACTTTCCCCTCTGTGTATCATCTCTCCCTATCCCTCTCACGCTCTTCTATTTTTTTTTTTTTGCCTCAGTTGTAACAACTGAGAGAGGCTCAGGGACGTGTGGGCGGCTCTCTAAACTTACATGTCTATCAGAAAGACATGAATCGACAGCAGGCAGGCTTCCCAAAACAACCACATTTAGATCACTCTCTAAACCCCTCTGTTAATAGAACACATTCTGTGACTAGCTTTTAGTAGTGGTCTATTTCCTAATCAAATGTGGTCGGCAAAAAGGTGAAGGTTTGCCCAAGCAAGTTGTCATAGAAAAGGTTTTGGGAGATCATTATGACTAGTTTGAGACACCATGCTTATCAACAAAACACATAGTGCTCCGCCATATTAAAAGAAAACATGATGAACACACAAATGTGCAGCCCCAGACTTAATTAGTTAAATAGGAGTTATCCTTTGATGTAGACCTTTTGATGTGTTCCTCTTTTCTTGTGTACACGTGTCCACGCACGTGGGTTTGCAGATATGTGTCCTAGCCTGCTTGTGTGTACTTGTCTGGCCGCAGATGGGATAATAACTATTGAATCTGCTTTTCCACATCATTTAATCTTTGGAGTTTGTCCCAAGCTCACCTTAAGAGATCAGCCGTTAAAAGGACTCGCTACAGAAACAGCAGTCAAGTCGGCAAGAGGCGACCTAGCGTGCCAGAGCACCTTGACCAAAAGAAGGAGACGCCGTCATCTGTCACTGAACGGTGTGGGAGGCTGCCAGGTTATGGAGCAATCTCCTCTCGCTGTCTCTTTCTGAATGACTCAATCCACTGTCTGAAATGCAAGCCAAGAATTTTACAATTAAAGGGAAGCTACTATCCGAGGCACCATTTTGACATCATCTGACTGTGACATGCAGAAGATTCACACCAAACCTGCTTTATCTGCTTTTATTCTCAGTTTGTATTAACACATTTCCCAGAATGCTTACACCTCAATTGCGCTCTGGAAATATGTCCCAGTGTGTCTGAGCATTTCAGCTTTGGGTGTCACGTGTTGTGGGCGTTGATGGCACAGCTTTTCCTTTCGATACAAGGCTTTGCGGATACATCAGTTTTGTTTCAGTTAAGAATTTCCAGCATTTCCCAAAACAACTTTCTTGGTTAAGAATAAATCAAATTAAAATAAGTTGAAGTATTAACATGTCATTTTGCATATCTTTACCACATAGAAATACAAATAACAAAATAACTGTAATGTGTCCGTCATGAGGGTTGTTTGTCTGTTGGTCACCATACTGTAGGAAAACTACTGTCCTCGATGTTCA